CTACCGTAGGACTCCGGCACTTCTAATTTTAGAAATTAAGCTCTGTTTTTCTATTTCAAATATAAATGATAGGATACTGAAGTTTTTAAGCAAGAAGTGAAACATAAGCATATCGAAATTCATTTTCTCTAATAAAGAGCTCTTAAACAACTTTTCACTTTTGGGGATGTGAATTCTTTTATTAAACGGTTCTAAATTTGGCGACTTTTCAACATTATTTCATTACTATAATATTTCATTACAACATAAATTTCATTACAATAATGGTAATATATTGAAATTATATTTAAAAAGTAACATTAAAATAAAACATTTTTATTTTTCGCTGTCATATTATAAAGTTTTATGTTGGCAACTTATTGTACAATATTTTGAATTTGAAAAATAAACAAGGTATAATGCAATAAAGCACAATTTACAAAACAGCTCTTAGCAAAAGCAAATTTAGTAATGTAATTAATTAAAAATGTCTTGTTTTTAATTTTTTCATAGTAAGAGTTTTTCCCATGTAATTGTCTCAGAATATTCAAAATTCTCAGAATGTGTGTGCATCAGTTTTCTCTATGAAATTAATTTTATACTTCCCCCTCCTTTTTTTCCCCAAAATATTTCTGGCTTTTTACTGTTACAGAAATGGTAGGGATAATTTTTATTTAGGAATTTAGACACTGCAGCTTGGAAAGTTTAGAACGATTTGAAGGCAAGATTTATAGACCCACGATTCTAGAAGATTTGAGAAATATGTGTCAAAATGAAAAATGTCTCTATGGTATCAACACGTAATGGATGTATTTTACTGAAAGTTTGCAATGAATTTCTTACTTTTTGGAGAACATCAGGAAGAACAATGAAAACATAATATTTGAATGTTTTACTTCTGATACTAGAATCTTAACATTTTTATTTTCTCTACTTTTCACTAGACAGAAGCATGGAAAATATCAAAAATGCTTCTCATCTTATCACATGAGCAGGCATTATAGAAAGGGATTTTTTTATTAATAAAGAAATTGAAAACTTAAAATTTAAAAGATTCATCTAATATGTTTTAATGCATCATACACCTAGCTGGCACTAGACATTTTCCCACCTGATGCAATCTCTGTGGATCCTAAGTTCTGCTGCCTAGTGCTTTTCTAAATTCTAAAAGTTTTGCCATTTCTAGATTTTTGTTGTTCGTGTGTCACTAAATTCTAGAAATTCTGCCTCATCAGCTCTGTAAACAACCTTTACTATATATATTTCATATTTCTTTTGAATGCTCATATTATAAAGAAATAAAATTAGCCGCTTTTTCTGTAAATTCTAAATGGATTGTTATTGTGATTGGCATCTGACTTTTGATCTGATGGAGATGCGATTTTACAGTTGTTTTTATTTTGTGGAATCAAAACTGTTTCTTCCTCATAACACAATACTGAATTATGCTTTTTTCTGCATAGCCGGCAAAAGTAATTTGAAGGGCAATTTCTCACTCCATGATTTCTAAAACAGCAGAAACATAATTTGTGCTTTTTGACATATGCGACTGTATCTTTCAAGATGTAGACTGTGTAATGTGGAACAAATTTATAAATTTAGGACATTTAAATGTCCAAAACAAATTTATTTAAATGTCCTAAATTTATAAATTTGTTCCACATAATACAGTTTACATATACATACATGTTTCTCAGTCATATGTTAAATCATTAAAGAAACCTTTGGTTGACCTCGTTTAGACAAAAATGGAATTCTAGAAGCCTTTAATGTCCTCGTGGGATCTTTCAGAAATTATATTCTGGGATGTTCAGTATTTTTTCCTTTTCTAAATTTCATTCCCATCGTAACTTAGTATTCTGATCAAGTTTCTGGCTAAGAATAAAGGCAACTGTAGTTGACAAAACCCCATCTAACATTTGTTCTAGACATTCTAACGATCTTACAACTACGCTTCTAACACTGTTAAATTTACAATCACGGAAACCGACTTGTTTTGAATAACAGGAGTACTTGTAAATCTTTTGAGTTGTGCATACGCTTGTTCTCTAGGGTTTGAGTATCTTTCCTCAAGTAGAGACCATGCTAACTTATAATTAGTATTTGTTATACCTGTCGTTTGGATTATTCTAAAGACACTTGAACAACCGCACACTGATTTGCCACTGAAGAGGGGAAAGAATAATTTTCTGTTAATAGTAGGATGGCAGTGCCATCTTACTTCAAAGGGATTTAACTGCGTAGCCATTGACAACACATTAATTGACATTAGCTATGATCATGCTTTTGACTCTTGAATGGTTATGGTAAAAAGGTTAATATTTTTCTATCTGGCAATAAGTGAAGCCCCAAGATGTACTTGTTTGGAGTGGCTCATACTTATTTTCTTCTGTTGGCATAGCAGTAGCAAACAGAGAAAGAATTAGAACTTAAGTTCAGTTAACCTAGTAAACTCCAGTTAACTTACTAATTTAATCCAGCTTAATTTTTTTCAAGCTATTATTATTACAACTATCTTATCAAAATAAAATTGCTTCAAAAGCTATAGTAAAGATAAATTTAAATAATTATCTTGTGCCATTGCTGCAAGGAATGAAATTTGAATTTAACAAACATTCTCTATTTGTAAAAAGCAAATTTGCAAAAACTGGCTTAGTTAATTAAAAGACTTAAAATAATAAATAATAATAAAGACATGAAAACTGCCTTATTTAATTAAATTTTAAATAAATTTGAATTGCAAATAAATGATTAATTATTGCTGCAAACTAATCTGCAGTATCATTTAAATTCTGAGAGCATATGTAAATCAAGTGCAAGTATCAAAATCTATGAATATATAATTCCAATAAATTTTTCAATCCTAAAAATTTATAAAAATGGATAAGTGAATAATTGTTGAGCAGGCAGGAGGCAGACTTGTCAAGGGGAAGTTGCCTTCAAACCTAATTCGTCAATTATTCAATTCATGTTTCGTTAAAAATCAAAACCAAAAGTAAAACCAAATTTTATGAATTACTAAAAAGAAATTTAAACAAGTTTAAACAAGTGAAATTTAGAGAAATTAGCAAGTAAATACTAGAATTAAAATAAAAGTCAATAAAGTAGAAAACAAATTTAAGAATTTTAGTAGAAATTTAGAAACTCTTGCCTACAAAAAACTTCCCCGACACGAATTATGCATATAAATCAAAAAGAAACTAGATACTATTTATAAAAAATAGATAAATGATACTAAAATAATGCTAAAAAGGCAAGTAATAGTAAGTCTTAATTTAACTTACCAACTATATTTGAATTTGGAGAGTGGAGCAGTATGCCAAATTAGGAAACTAGATTAGTTCTCAGCAATAATTAATCATTTATTTGTAATTCAATTTCATTTAAAATTTAATTAACTTTAAATTTGTTTGTTCTTTATCAAAATACAATTTTCAATTTTTGATTATGTCAAAAAAGTTTTTATTTCTGGAGTTGTAGAAGAATCTGCAAAGCAAAAGCATAATTGGTACTTAAATTCTATAACTTCTTGCCACTGATAGTGAAGAAAGTGTCAAAGATGTTACTGAGAATGAAAAGACTTTGATTAACAGTTTAGTTGACATATGGCAATTACAGGACTTGAACAATGGAACTTTGTAACTGAACAAGAAATTGTGTCTGTCTATAAAATTAAAGAGAAAGTATTAGCACAGAAAAGTTAAACAACTTCAAAAACACACAAATAAATATTGAGTTTTTTTTTCCTCTCCCCCAGTCATCTTACTAGATTTAAACTGATAATCTTAAATCGGGAAATTTCAGAAATCTGGAGTGACCCAAGTCCTAATAGTTCTGGATCTGACTTTTTTTGCATTTTTTATATGAATTTAATATTTAATTCTTATTTTAGTTATAAATTTTTTAAATATTTACTTAATCATATTTAACAACTTGCACAAATTTTTCATAATTTTTCCTAAAACTATTCTAGTTTTGCAACCTTACATGCAAAATTCATTTTTTATGAATTTTATAAAAAGCACCAAAAATTTTGCCAAACATGAAAACTGGCTATTTCTTATCAATTTTGTAGTCACATAGCATACCTTTGGCAGATATTTGGGTTACTTTTTAGATTCACTCTCTTTATCAAAAGCAATTTCTTTTGTTTTTGGAATACAGATAGTTTTATAGTGTGACACTATTTTCGGTGACTTGTCATAATTTTGGTAATTTTAAGATCAGTTCATTTACAAAAATTTTATTTGCCTCATTTGCAAATTTTAGGACAATATTTTAACAAATATAAAAATTAAGTGTGATAAATCATTAATATAATGTTGTATTAAAATATTTTTAATAACATTAAAATAAAATATTTTAAGTTCCATTTGTCATGTTTCTCAAATGTCTCTACTTTGGCGATTTTTGAATCTCCTTGAGTCTGAAATATAAGGTATTAAATGTTATAAAATGTAATTTCTGAATTATATTTGAGTAAAAGTAAGAAAGCTAAAATTAATTTCATTTGTTTTTGTTAAATGTAGGTTTCAAAATATTCTGATAGGTATAAATTTATTCTATAAAATTTATTTTATGCTTATTTTTCCTTTTTTTTTTTTTTTTCCTAAAAATTTTTCAATTTTACTTTCACGAAATTTGCAGGAATGCAGTTTAATTTGCAGATACTTCCTAGAGTCTGTATCATTTTATAATATTTAGTTCTAATCATTTTATTTAATATTTTTAAAAATTTGATCTGTGAAAATGTGAACTGTGAAAAACCCAGACAAAATTAAAAGTAATTTTAAAATACTATTTATATATTGTATGTGTAAATTAGTAGTCTGGAATAATTTATTATAAATAAAAATTACTTATTTGAACTCTTTTGTGAATCTTTATTTGAACTTTTCCAGTTTATCACTTATCCCTTAAGTTATTTATATATTTTGTATGAATTTAGTGGTGTCAACCTGTTTTCTAAAGTACCAATTTCAGTTTTATTATTTATGGTCTGAAATTACATTAAATCCTAGGCTCGAAATGTTGCTGCAACTACCGAGGAATTACTTTTTTCACCAGATTCTCGACCAACTGATAAGCAGTATCAGCAGTTAAATGATATAAAATCTGGAGCAATATATACACAGCCTGCTGCTCCTGCAATTTTACAGGAAGCTAATGGTGATTTAAAGTAAGATTATTATGCTGTTTCCATGACTTGTTTATATCATGTTGCCATATTGTTGCATGTGTATTAGTTGGTAATAGATTGAATGCTCAAGTCCGATAATAGGGTTAATAATTAATAAAAGTTTAGTTTTATCAAAAGAATATTACAGAATTCTAGAATTTTCCACAGAAATATTCAGACTATTGTTCACAGTATCTCGCAATATAATTAGTAGTTGCACTACAAACTAGAAGCGGCAAGATGACAGGCCTTAGATTCGCATCCGCCGCTATAAAAATTATGTCTTATATACTTGGCAGGAGGTCTTCACATTATACATGGATAGCTTCATAGAGGGACCAGCAGGCTTGGGTAAAATTTAAAACCATGAGTTTTGCTACCTATTGTCACTATGAATTTCTTCAAGTTATCAACTTCTTTGGCGACCGTGGAAACCCTATCGTCAGTTTGTTGTTCGATTTGTTATAGGATGGAAGAAACTCTTCCTTCTATTTGTTCTTTCACAGAAAAAACTTTTTTTTTTTTTAAATGTGTTCAACATTATTTTCAACAATGTCTATTCTGCCTTCTATAGTCTCAGATTTGTTTTCTATTATGCAAGTAATTTCTCTTTTCATTTCCTCTTGACTTACTTTCATTTCCTCTTTAACATAATCTTAGCGAACTTTTATCTCTTCTTGGCCCACTTTCATTTCTACGTTATCAGCCTTCATCTCTTTTTTAACAGAATCTTGGCCAGCTTTCATCTCTTCTTATTCCACGTTCATTTCTTCTTTAAATGCAGCAAAGGCTGCCACCAGCTGTCTTAACTGCTCTTCCGCTTATTACTGGCATTCAAACCCACATCTGACACCGCTCTTATCTCTATTACATCTGACACCGCTCTTAAAACCTCATCTGACATCGCTCTTATTACTGGCATTCAAACCCACATCTGACACCAAAAAGTGTTACGTATGTATGGATTCGTAATAGATTGAATGCACAAGTCTGATAGGTTGATAAAAATTTGGTTTTATCAAAAGAAATATTTCAGAACTCTGGAAATTTTCCACAGGAATATTCATACAAGTGTTTACAGTATCACACAATTTAATCACTTGTTACAGTAGAAACTCCCAAGAACGTAAAACACAACACAATCTAAAAGAAAGCTAATCCAATCTCATGCCGAACTCGCAGCAATAACAACAGCAGCTATCTAAACAACTGATAACAGATGCTCTCTCTTCGTTATTAGATAGTTTTCAACCGCCTATGAGGTATTTCTAGCACTTTCTGCTACTCGAAAGTATTGAAAAGCAATAAGAGGATGGAATTATGTTTACAACTAACATAGTGGTCAATTACATTTATTCAATTTCAATACAGATTAGCTAGATACCCATTTTCTCTATGTTAAATGCACATGCTCCTGTATTCTAACTTTTCCGGCATAGCTTTCTCTTAAAATTTTACTTGCGCTACCTTAATTAAAATTCTTCTAAAATTATGTATCTAAATACAAAATTTGTAACAATATTTTAATGCTGTATTATTTCTGTGATCTAGCAGCACACATATGTTATTTGTGGCTAATTTTTTTTTACTTGAAAAGTTGCTTTTGATTTAAATTTGCTATATATTTAATTACGTGGTATAAATTAAGATTTTCCAGTATTCAAAAGCTCATAAGCTTTTGCTGTCTATTGACTGTATTGGAATATATTACATATTGCACATCGTTTGTGTCACTTTAGCAAATATGATTTAGTTTAATCTGCCAATATATCTTAACTGAGAAAGGAAGCACTCATATATGTTGTTTAGGGAAAACACTTCACTACTGTTGAGCTTTCTGATAAATGGTGGTCTGGCAGTATATTTGCATTTATTTGCGACGAATGTGTCACTCTTCAATAAAGCATTCAGAGGTAGTCTAGTTCATATTGCTGCATGTTTACCCTTACTAATAAAAGATAAAGCATCTCTGTGAAATATTTTGTAAGTCAAACAAAAGAAGCACCTATCATTAATTTTTGCTAGGTATCTATTTAGTTATTAAACATGCCCAAAAGATTGGCTATGACGTTTTTAGATCTCTAGCCTTCCAATATATTTGAACTGTAAAGTTTAAAAACTCAAATGCAGAGCATGAGTCGAGATGAGTAGCATAAAAAATTGGTTGTTGTCTGCACAGAGGACATAAGGGAGAATCACAAAGCTCAAGCCAATACAAGTATGAGGGCAAACAGTCATGGCATGCAGTAATGTGCAAAAGTACCGCAACTGCACTTCTAAAAAAATCTGGGATCAACTGTGTATTCATAAGCACTGAGGGCTCGGGGCTTACCTGCAGAGTCACGCAGTGCTCTCTGCTTTATCCTCGAGACATCTTCTTTTATCAGGAGTTTGACAGAATGAAATAAGTGGATTTTCAAAGGTCTCTGGAGGACACTTGCACACATCTGGCCGAAACGTTCGTTTCTAGGAAATCCCGCAAGGAACTGGGATCCACTGGAAAGAAACAGAGATTGACATTGAGAGTGCTCTGTACTCCAGTATACGGGTATTATCTGTGTATTGTCTGTTTGCAAGAGATTGAAGAGCAAACAGGGAGTCTGGCAAAATAACCATTCTGCAGAATGACGAAGGGTGGATAGCCGGTTGCTTTAATGCTATAGAAATAGCCTTGATTTTGGCATTGTAATGGGTGGAGTGAGCACCTGTTGGTGCATAGCATGAAAATGATCACAACGCACACCAGCTCCCACTCCGTCTTCGTTAAACATTGATCTATCTGTGTGGACATGTAATCATGTGCCTGTAGGGTATTTGTTTTCATGGTAGACAGAGCAATGGCACAAACCTGTTGTTCACTCATATGACTCTTATTAATCTGCATATCCAGCTTCAGATGCACCAAGATCCCTCCATGTCCCAAAGTACAAACATGCCTGCAGAGAAGTTGAGGATTGAGGTGGACATTCATGTTAGTGGCTACAAAATAAGCATATTGTATAAACCCTTTTTGAGTTTTAAGATTTCTTGCTGTGTTGGTGTCGTAATCCCTCCAAAAAGTATTATTGGTCAGGCAAATCAGCTTTTCATAAAGAAGGACTGCATCTCTTTCAATTATGTTTCTCATTGAAGGGTTTTGAGATAAATACTGCATTGCTAGAATAGGAGTGGTTCTTACAGCACCTATAATATGGAGTGCTTTCTCTTAGACAGTTTCAAGTTTTCAAATAGTAGTAATAGCAGCAGACACCAGAACTTCGTTATAATAACTGAAGATTGGCTGAATGAAAAGCTTGAAGGCGGTATTCAAGGTGTCTTGGCTGCAGCCTCATTTGTAACCAGCCAACCTTTTAAGAACAGGTAGTTTTTTAACAGCTTTTCCACTGTCATAATTAACATGTCTGTTCAAACTCAGAAACAAGAAAGCAACCTAAATACTTTGTGCTTTCTACTCTTTGAATTTCCATACTCTGGAATTTAAGGTTAAGTACAAAAGGACGCCTATTTAGGGAGAAAAATTTGCAGGTGATTTTGGCTTTCTTAGCAGACATTCTTAACATTGTCAGAATATCAAAAACTGAGTTGCTCAAGGGCTTTGTTAAATGTAGTGTTAAGCCTGTCCTGGTTTTTCTTTAGCTCGCTTGCCCACATTGTCAGGTCATCAACAAACAGAGCAGTTTTTATCCTGGAAATGCTTTCCAATGACTTGGTCAGATCCTTGATATAAATGTTAAACAGTATAGGGCTCAAAACAGTGCCTTGAGGAAGTCCAGATTCCATTTGTTTGAATATGGATAAAGAGTTTCCAGATTTCAGTGAACAAAACCGCTGACCAAGGAAATCACTCAGCCAGCACTATGTATTGTTAGTAATTCCTGTGGAAATCAGCTTATAAATTATCTTAGTATGCCAGACCTTATCATATGCTGATGAGAAGTTAATAAAGGACTTCTCATCAGCAGCAAAGCAAATCTGCAAGATCATCCTTAATATTTTTGCTAAGGTAGGCCACCTGCTGAGCAGTGGAAGGAAAATGTCTAAAGCCAGCCTGGGAATTACAGATAAGACCATGATGCTCGAGAAACTAGGTCAGTCTTGCAGTGGTCATCTACTTCATAATTTTTGCCAAAACACTCATGAGGGCTGTTGGTCTATATCCATCAAGTTCGTCAGAGGTTTTGCCCTGCTTATGTATTGGGACAGTAATAGCTTTTTTCCACATTGCTGGTATGTTAGAGTTCCAGCTTCTGTTGATCAGCATTAAAAGCACTGAACGACCATTAGGCCTTAGCTTCTTAATAAATTCTGGGTGGAGACAGTCTGGGTCGGGGCTCTTTCTGCTTTTTAAGGTATTTAATTGAGCCTTCAAGTTTAAATTTGGTAAAGTCAGCACTAAACACCAACTAAAGCGAGCCAAGACCAGTTACAGCTTTTTGAATATTACTTTTCAGCATTTTTTTAAATTCTCCTGGAATCTTGACTGTCAGTCTTTGTGATTTAGAATAAAACGAAATAAAATCATTTGCCATATCTGTCACTAGTTAAAATGCCATGATGGCCCTTAAAGGGGGCTCTAGCAATTTGGGAAGGTTTAACCCTTTAAAATGTTAACATACTTAACCTTCCGGCAGGCGCGCCTTCTGCACCAACAAGAAAGGTCGCACGTATTTCTTAGATACGGTATAAAAAATAAATTTTCCAGCACAAAAATATTAAAATTAGTTTGTGAACAGTTAAATGTTAATAAGTACAATTGAGTTAAACAATATTAACTTTAAATTAAGGAAAATAAAAAGTAAGTTAAAAAAAAATAAAAAGCAAAAAAACAATATAAAATGGACTAAAGACTTACCAAACTAACTTGAAAGTAAAACAAAATTAAACTGTCAATATTTCAACTGAACTTTTATATATTTAATCAGTAAATGAAAAAACACATTAAATATTACATAACAAATCAATTTCATAGTCACTTCATTGCATCGGTGCAGTCTGAACAA